AATTATAAATCAATAATTTACATCCAAAACAACAAAAGTTCAATAAATCTGTTTATAGATTCATATTTTACACATAATTAATAATAATTCATATTTATGATAAACTGTGTCGATCTTTATTGATCAGTAGCTACAGAGACAGACAGCAGTACTAATACAACTATATAACCAGATATAATTATATATAATACAATGCATTAATAATATAAGATCTTATTTAATCAAATATAATAACATATAATACCATTTATTATTCATATATAATAATAATAATAACAGTAGGTCAGTGGGACATTATGAGCACTTTCACTTTCTGTTAATTATAGTTTAATTTGTAATAGAGTATTTTTATTGTACTTTTACTGCAGTTAAGTACCTGATTACTTCCTCCACAGACGTTTATATTATATATGATATTATATGTATATATATAATATCANNTGGCAGCTCGCCTCGTTAGAGGAGCTCTCTAATCGTAACGGCTAACGCGGTTAAATAAAGGTTTAATTAAAAGCTACAAACACACAAACAGAATTTCATTTACACTGAGGATCCAGAACGAGGCCACAAACTGTCCCACACAATCCTCCTTTAATTCACTTAACTTTATTTATTCACTTTATTTTATTTAAATATGAGAAATAAAAGAATAAAATCTTCTTAATATTCAGTTTTATTATGAAACTCTTTCTGTCCTATTAAATGTTTGTAAATAATAATAATTGTGATTATTGATTATTGATGAATCCATCAGGATATGTGACGTCTGGAATGAGCCGTTCTTGATCCCTGGAGGGGGATAATGAACCACAGCAGGACAATAATGATACAAATATGATGAATTGATGATTTGATGAATAATATAATAAAAATCAAACAGAAGTGAGAACAAAGATCTCTGAGTGACTCGTCCTCTCACCGGTTTCTCCCTTCGACTCCGGCTCCTCGTTGTTCGGTCTCACCGGCTCATCGTCCTCGTCGTTCCTCTCCAGGTCGATGTTGTCCTCCTCCTCCTCGTCCTCGCTGCGGTTCCGTGGTGTCCACGTCATCTTGTTCTCCTTCTTCAGCCGCCGGCGGGCGTTGGCGAACCAGGTGGACACCTGGGTCAGGGTCATCTTGGTGATGATGGCCAGCATGATCTTCTCCCCCTTGGTGGGGTACGGGTTCTTCCGGTGCTCGTTGAGCCAGGCCTTCAGCGTGGCCGTGGCGTCCCGGGTGGCGTTCTTCCTGTAGGTGGGGTCTCCGTACGGGTAGGGCCCCAGGGCCCCGAACGGGTGGTAGTCCAAGGAGCCGGAGATGCCCGAGGACGGATCGTACCCGGGACTCTGGAACAGATAAAGCTCTTTAATGTGGTGATCAGTGAGACGCTGTGGCGTTCTGTTGGCAGCTCGCCTCGTTAGAGGAGCTCTCTAATCGTAACGGCTAACGCGGTTAAATAAAGGTTTAATTAAAAGCTACAAACACACAAACAGAATTTCATTTACACTGAGGATCCAGAACGAGGCCACAAACTGTCCCACACAATCCTCCTTTAATTCACTTAACTTTATTTATTCACTTTATTTTATTTAACAACTGTTTTATAAGTTTAGTGAACTTTAGTTTGAATATCAATCAATAATAAATGTTATCAGTAAGACAAATGAATGAAGTGGAACCAACATAAAAAAACTAAAGAAGAGTTTATTAAATGTAAATAAATCAGATTGAATTAAACATACAAAAGTCTTTTTTCTAAACTCTACATTTACTAATGAATGATATTAATAACATTAAACTCACTTTATATTAATAATAATAAAGTTCATTTAATAAAACCAATAATCTGATCTTATTATCATAAATGATAAAAAGAGCTTTTAAACACTTTTAGACTCTAAAACTTTAAAGTTCAGCTTTTCACGCACTGAGCGTCATTACGCACCGGATTATCTCAGACTCTCAGGACCAGAACCAGAACCAGAACCAGGAGCGGTCACTCACCACGAAGGAGCTGAGGGTGGCGGCGGCCCGGGGCTCCCCGCCGTACGGGAGGTGGGAGTTGAATCCGGGAGAGGTCGCCGGTCCCGAGTACGGAGCGAAGGCTGAGCCCTGAGAGGAGCGACCCAGCTCCTCCGTCCTCGGTCCTAAGATGACCCCGGAACCGAAGGACGGGCAGGAGGAGTGCAGAGCCAGAGACACGGACGGCTGGAACAGGAAACCCTGAGGATAAGACATGACGGCGCGCACGGAGCCGGACTATTACGCACGGACCAACTCACATCGGACGGAGAAAGCGCGCGTCTCCCCGGGACAGCGGAGGGAAGAGAAGGAGGAGAAAAGGAGGGAAGAGAAGGAGGAGAAGGAGGAGGAGGAGAGGTTTAACAGCGGAGGAGCATCCGGGAGCATCGCAGGGCTGCTGGGATCCGATCCTCAACACCGCTTCAGACTTCCGGCTGCTGCTGGACCCGATCCGATCTGAACCGTCCTGAAGACTGGAGAGAGAGAGAGAGAGGCGTAACCATGGCTACAGGTCAGAGCGGGAGGAGCTTTAAGTCTCACCTGTCTTACCTGTCTCAGACGAGTCCTGATGGCGTCCATGACGACCTGCAGAGGACAGACAGAGTTACTGTCAGTCTCTGCTAATGCTAATCCTCCAGTCTCGTCC